AAAAAAAGAAGCAAGGTTGAAAGGTAAAGGATGATCACCCAAGCTTTGGGAAACTGGAGAAGACAAGAGAGTATAGAATAAAGGAGAAAGCAAAAGAATATGGAAACAAACCAGCAAGACTAGAGACCATGTTCACTCACATAAAAATATAAAAAAATCAAGAAAGACAATTGAGGAAATAGAGAAATAAGAGGAACAAAACAAAACAAACAATAAATACAAAAACCTAAATGACAAAAAAGAAAAACCAGACATAAAACGGAAAATGAACATTCAAACCAAACCAAACCAAGCCAAACCAAACCAATAAAATGCCTCTTGTGTCCACAGTTCTGTTGTAGTGTCCAAGTCAGATTCCAAAACTGTGTTTGGTAACCCCACTAAGTCTGCAGAAGGATTGGTCCTGGGTGCGGGGCTGATCTTGGCCTCTGGATGTGGGGACTGGGCCAGTCTTCAGCCAACAACTTTTTGTATGCTCCTCAGCAGCTCATCCATGTCTCCTTACCCTGTTTGTCTCTTTATTGCTCTCCAAGTTGCTGTGGGCATCCTCAGACAGAGACAGACAAGGATGCTCCCAGTCTTGTGTACATTTGGTGCCTTCCTGTCCTTGTGTCCTTGCACAGCCTTCACTGGCTCATCTCTCTCCTCCCAAGGCTACTCCATCTGCTTCAATCCCCACTCTAGCAGGAGGAGTGCTGACTTCCAACTTGTTGTCCTGCCTCTGCCCAAGACTGCTTAACTCCCTCCCAGCAGCGTCCCTTTCTCATGCCTGCTGGTCACAGGGCAGGACGAGTTCTGTTGTTCCATTCACTACTTTTGTACTGTGAGTCCCTAACCTTGTTGTTGCTAGAGGTTCTAGATAGCTGCTAGAGTGAACAAACAAAAAGAAAAGAAAAGAAACGAAAAGAAAAAAGAAGAGAAAGAGTGAGGGAGAAAGAGAAACTGGTGGCTCATTGGGGAGGGAGCAGCTTCTTGGTCACTTGTCCCTTTGTGTGCCACAGAAATTTGTTGCCAGGCTGTATTATCTTTTGTTTGCAGGAAGGCAAAAGGGGCAAGGGGCCTTATATCCCAGATCTATCCTATGTGGCTTGATTTTGCCACATTATTGCAGTCCATCAGTTTTTGGGAAGTTCCCAGAATGGTGGTTCCTGTTCTGCATGCTGGTGGCAGCGCCACTGGCAGCCCTGTAAGCTGGTTTGCTGTTGTATAAAGTCCTATGCCTATGCTTTGTTTGATCTGCAAGTCTTTTATTTCAGATTGATTTTGGCATCAGCATATATATCCCTCCTTTTCTTCCAATTACCTGTGTTTTTAGTTGATTTTCTCTGAGTAGCTCCAATGTGACTCCTTCTCTATTCAGCCATGTTGAATTTCCACACCAAGGAAACCTTTCTATTGGAAAACAAAACAAAACAAAACATTAAGAACATGAAAACATAGTTTACACAATGAGAAATTAAAAGTCAGCAAGATTATGTAAAGAAGATCAAATTCATCTGTATCCAAATAAGTACAAATTAACAATGAGGTTTTACTTCATATCAATTGCACCTGCACAAAAGTATAAAAACAGACGACACTATGGCCTCAGAAGACCTAGTAAAAGAATTTTTATTAATTCTAGGCACACATGTATTGCTACAGCTTTGCTGAGGAAGGGGTTTAGTTTCTAAAACTAAAAATACACATTTCCTTGACCCAGTGACACCAAAACTTTTCAAACAGAAAAGCATATATAGATGTAGGGATAAGTATGTTTGTTGAAGTACTATTTGTAGAAGCAAAAACTGGAAGCAAAGCAATCCTCATGAATAAGGGGAATGGTAGGTATATCATGACATATCCCTACTATCACATACTAAGCAACTATAAAAATAAATAACTAGCTAGACTCTGACTTTTCACTTGGCAAGGATTTCTCCAAAGCATGGTTGCATGAAAAAAATCAAGATATAGAAAAGGCTATACCAACACCTAAAACACTCCATGTGATTATGTACATACATAAAACAGATAAGTTTGTATATGATTATGTAAATTCTAAAAAATATTAAGAATGCAATATATTAATTATTAAATGAGAGTGATAAGTTGGAGATGGGGAGGGGAGATGGACATACCCAGAAGTGGAGTAATGTTAAAGCTTTACAAATATGTTCAATATGACCTGGGATTTATACTTAAGGCATATGGATAAAATAATGGATGACTGTATTTAAATATTATCTCTATCATTAATAGGCTATGTTACTTCAGGCTAATCATTTAATCTTGCTGGACCTCGAATTAACTCATTGGCAAATGGGTTATATGATTCCTAAGGACTGTTGTACCTCCAGCATTCAAGGATCCTGCTTCTTTGAAAGTGATGGATAGATAATACGTCAAACAGTGCAATCTCAGCTCAGGCTACAAAATGTCAGAATAAAGCAAGGTCAATTTGGTTTGGCCCAGGCTTTGAAAATACATTTTTATCTTTTTAAAATGTTATTTGGCTGATCTACTATGACATGATATCTAATGGTGAACCGAACTTACTTTCTCCTACAAATCAGTGTGTCTGGTTCAATATTCTTATTAACAGGTTGACTATTTTGCCATCCCTGGTCTTGACTGCTTTCTGCTCATTTAAACTATGTTTCCAGGTTTTGATTGTATTTTTCCTTACCCAAATTTTCCATTGCAGTCCCTTTCCATGCCCCAAGCAAATATCTTTCTGTTTTTCCCTCTCCCTCTCCCACATCAAAGTTTACCATACCTTTCTGCCTACTGTCTGCCCTCATCTCCTAAAACCCCACCAGTCTTCAAGGCTCCACTTGAACCTAATTTCCTTTTTAAAAAATAATTTTGCCCAGCCGGGGATTTAGCTCAGTGGTTCTGCCACCTGCCTTGCAAGCGCAAGGTCCCAAGTTTGATCCCCAGTATCAAAAAAAAAATGTTTATAGCAATTAAAAAATAGTTTTGCCTTTACTTTTTTTAAATAGCAAAATATTTATTGGTACATTTTAGGCATATATAATGATAACCCAATTTCCTTTTTGAAGGCCTCTAAAGCCTTCAAGTTATAGTCTATTTTTTTTTAAAAAAGCTTCAACAAGTTGGTTGTCTTTGTCTTTTGTATTGTGATTTTCATGACTGTTTTGTACCATTGTTACTTGCATAAATGCTCCATATCCACAGATATTGCAAGACCTAGAAGGGAATATGAGAAGCTTATTGATTCTTTTGTTTACCCCATAGGGTCTTATGCATAAAAAGTTGTTAATTAATACTGTTTCCCTCTGAAGTAACTATTCTTAAAGACCTGCCAAATTCTGAACTGATAGGGAATTTTAACACACAACATGAAATATTACTGAAAACACAATTAAAAAGTGCTTTTAGAAGAAAATGGTGGTATCTTATTCATTAAACTGTGTGTATCTGTCATCCAGGTTTAGACAATTAAAACCAAGAAGACTGGACACCTGCTATGAAAAGCTGGTGGCTCTCACAAAGCCAGGAGTACAGCCTGTCCTTGTGTTATGTTGCTGGGGCCAAGAAATTCAGTTTTCCAAAGGGAACTGTAAAATATGAGCAGCTCAAAGTCCAGCAACTGAAAGTTAGAAGATTTCAATGACGAGAACTTAATAAAATTCTCAGAATTCATTCATTGAGTTTATTCCCATTTCCCACACACAGCTGAGTGTGTCAGTTTAACTTTGAAAGGGTGTTTTCTTTCATTTGTTTTCTTAATAGAAGTTGAATTATCCGTTAGTTCAAGAAGAAAGAAGACAAGTCCAGATTGCTTGACTAACATCAGTTAATTTGAAATCTCGATTTATTAGTAGGTAATAAATCAATATGGGTCTCAGACATAGCTGCTAATGGGATCATCATAGCATCTCCATGAGTCCAGGAGAGTTTTCATCAAGCTCTGAAATGACTCCCCCATTCCCTCCTCTCCTCCTTCACTAAATAGTGGAAGCCTGTGTACTTGGTGGTTTAGAGTTAGGTGTGTACATCTTCATTATCAAACAGAGTCCATTATAAGATTTAATAACTTCTAAAAATGAGGATGCATCTTGAGACCATACTAAGTGAAATAAATCAGACATACAAATGTCACATGGCTTCTCTTATATGAGAAACCCCGAATATGACTAAAGAGCAAAATAAAAGATAGATAATAGAAAGTAGAGAGATAGATCTTTTTCAAATGGGAAGGGAACAAGAGATAAAGAGAGGGAGAGGGAGGGGAGGAAAAGGGGATGGAAAAAAGAATCAAAGAAAAGAATGGAAGTAGAACTTCTGCAAATGGGAAGGGAACCAAGAGTTGGAAAGAAGCAGGCAGCGATAGGAGGGTAGAGGATGAAAAAAGAATTAAGATGTGTTATGCTCATGTACCAATGCCCCATGATAAATGTAATCATCATGTACTACAAACATGTAGCAAAAAAATAAAAGTAAAAAAATTAAAATGAGGTTGCAAATGGCTATCCTCCAGACTGAATAAGTCCTTTCTTCTGGGGGAGTTGGGGGCATGGATGTGTGTATGTGTGTGTGTGTTCTGCATGGTTTCCCTTCCCCTTCCTTTGCCCTCTCCTCCCTCTTTCATCTTTCTCTTCTTCCAATTTCAAATTGAAGAGATCTTTCATAAAAACCTGAATTTCTTCCTTCCTGCTTCTATTTCAAAATCAGAGGATTTGAATTTTCTAAGTGGCAATGACTAGGTAGCACTTGATGGGCAGAGACTCTCCATGTGGCCCAAGCCCCTCTGCTCTGCTCAACTCATTAACATTAGGAGGGTCCTGTGTGCAGCTGAATCTAAAGGTCTTGCTCTAAAAGTACTGACAGAGTAGACAATCCAACCTACTTCTGAGGGCAGTTTGACCTTGTGCTTCAAGAATATGGATTCTGGAGCAGCCTCCTTGATTGAAATATTGCTTCTACTTTCCAGCTCTATCTCTGTGTGACTGGGTAAGTAACCTCCAGGGCCCCAGTTTCATCTATAAATTAAAGATAATAACCACAGTACTGCCTCATTAGGTTTTCATGAGGAACAGGTTTAGCATTTAGAACAAAGAACATCGTGGCACACATTAAGCACCATGTAAGTATTAGGTTCTTTAAAAAAACCTCAGTATTGAAGCTTTTATCTGTGTTAAAAATTACTCTGACACTCATTAAAATGGCAAGGGAGACTTTATTCTGGACTATAATGATGTTTCAAGGCTACTGAGATGGAGGAAACAATGGGTTCAAATCCAAATACAACAGGAGAAAGAATTTATAGACAAGGAGTGGGTAGAGAACATCAGTGGATGGACAATAAGTGTCTTGCTAAACCACATGAAAAGATTCTTGCTGAAGGCAGACCAGGATGATCAGATGTCAAGGACAGAAGATTCTCTCTAAATTGGCTCAATAGGGCTCCACAAGGATGGCATGAAGCTCAAAGTCAAGGGGGAGGTTTGAGAAGAGGGATTAGATGAGCCTGGCTAATTTTTGCGAAAGGAGAGATTCTCCATCACGTGCATCAGCAAATCGATCTTTCTTATATGACTTTGTAGCTTTATGAATTCTCTCAGACTTGGGCACGCATTGCACTAAGCCACTGGTATCTCAAAGCAAGTCTGTCTCTCTGTACAATGGGACACCCTCAATAGGTAACATGGTGAATGGAGATTTAAAACCTTGCTATTGCAATGTAGTAATACTGCAGGGTAAACATGATCTGGCTTTATAGGGAAGGAAATTGAGGCCCAGGCATTAACTGACCCACTCAAGGATGAGTACTTATAATTTCTTTTGAGCTGAATTGTGATGAATTTGTATGTGTGGGCCATTTCTATTACCTGTAAGTTCAGAAAGGAGAGAGAGAGAGAGAGAGAGAGAGAGAGAGAGAGAGAGAGAGAGAAGGTAGGAAGGGAAGAAGAGTAGAGGGAAGAGGGTAGAAGGAAAGAAGGGGTGTATATCCAGAGGAGAGGAAACCTTCTTTTTGAGTCATTCAAACTCCGGGGAGAATAGGTGGCAAAGCCCAGACTATGTACGGTGTCATTCATAACCGGTCACCCGCTGAAAAGCCTGGCCTGTTGAAAGCTGACACTGCCAGTGTTCATTCTGAAAAGTGTGGTCCCCGACTGTGTTACACTGCCTATTTTCATGACAGACACCCATGTGTAATGAAGCAGGCAGGAGGGAATCTCAGCCCTTTGTGATTTTCCCCAAAGCTGCTCTGCTGGGCAGAGTACCAGGCAGAAGGAGCAGAGCACCTAGGTGGCCCCAGACCAGCAGGACACTGATGTACTGCAGGTCATGGCCATAATATGTATATGGGCCACACAGCCACACAAGGGTCTAGGAGGGCATAGCGTTGCTTTCCTGATTGTATAGGCCCCAGAAAACACCCC